GTCGTATGGTGTGAACTGTTTAAAATTGGTTAGCTTTATATTGGTGTAGTGTTGCCAAAACTGTCGTATGGTGTGAACTGTTTAAAATTGGTTAGCTTTATATTGGTGTAGTGTTGCCAAAACTGCCGTATGGTGTGAACTGTTTAAAATTGGTTAGCTTTATTATGGTGTAGTGTTGCCAAAACTGCCGTATGGTGTGAACTGTTTAAAATTGATTAGCTTTATTTTGACTCTGAAGGTTGCAAAGATTTTATAAGTTCTACGACAGAAAAACAGGATAAAACGAGGCGTCTGTAACAAACCCACGTTTATTGGTATATCAAAATACTTGGAGGTTAAGTGTATTGATAAGTTATGTCAACATCCTCAATTCACCCACCATATTCGGCTCATCGTCATGGCAACTACTTGTGTTACGAAACCCAACGTTTTGAGTTGTCAATCCAAACAATAACTCACATTAATTAAATGTCAGGAAGAATAATGTTATCAAAATTCACACTTTTAATTCTTCTCAAGTAAATATCCTCAGCAGAGAGAACAACATTAATGGACGAAGAGTAAAAAAAGCCCTATTAATAATAAGAATACAACCTATTCTTAAACAAATACAAAGGAGTTTATTGATATCTATATTCCAATTCCCTTCTCTCTCTTATATAACAAATTTTCTCAAGTCGTATTCAGGCTTAAGTTACATTTATTATGCCTAAATTTGAGAGTTTATTGATACATTACTTTATTGTTTACAAGTAGCGGAAGTACCTGGTTGATATATTCTAGATGACTATGTCATTATGTGTATTCTGAACCCATTTTAGCATAAAAGTATGATCTATATACTTTTGTTGCTAAGCAACCAAACACATTAACCTTTCTATATATTAGGAGTTGTTATTATAAAGAACTACTTCTTTTCTATGTGGTTTTTCGCTAGGTTGTCTCATTAAAAAGATGCGCATGCGCACACACACGTGAATAAGTAATAATACCAAGTAATAATATGTGTGCAAAATTTCTGGTTTCTAGATTCTTTACTATTGGAGTTATGGCAGTCACAGACTAACAGACACACACCTTTATTATTATAGATTGGTTAGTTGTATGCTTGTAGATTATTAATGATATAGATTCTCACGTGATTCTTTTCTAAATTCAATTCCGTGAGCCTCAGTTATTCTATCTCACCTGATGATGCCAGATAAACCTGGTGAAACGTTATGTATAAAATAAACAAATGTTTTATGATGTACAACCGATAAAAACTGCATTGCTAAAAGTTAACTAATCGAAAGGACGTGTCTGTGAATCTGTGTGGCCGCCACAACTCGAAGGGAATAGAACCTAGAAACCTGAAATTTTTCACATATACTAAGTGGACCCTGAGGGCGTACACTTAGGTATTATTAGTTATCCAAGCTAGCAAAAGAACCACATGAGCCGGGTACTTTCGCTAGTCATTTAATATTTCATTACGTAGATTTTCATTTCAGATTTGAATGTTCGTTAAAAGTATTTGTTGTCTCTACAAAGGTTTACAAAAGACTTCTATATTTTCTCGAAATGTCTAAGTAAATTGAGAAACAAAGCTGAAAGTAATTGTACGTAGTTTTGGGTTCGATTCCCCATGATGATTTGTTTGTTTGTTTGTTATAAAGCACAATGAAACACACGGGGCTATCTCGCCACGGGTATCGAAACCCGGTTCATATTTTGAAAAATATCAGTTTTTATTCCAGTCGTTTCCAAAGTGACTTATAATTTAATATAATTTTTCTATTTGTAGAATTTTCTAAGAGTATTTATGAATATATCTTTCCTTTTCTCCTAGAAAAC